GTACAAGGAACTATCCAGCATTATTGATATATTTATCAAGCCACTAATCCCCAAATTACCAACAATTATATCATGTTAACCTTTATGTCATGTACTGAGAAAAAAGTATCACAAGTGATAAAAGACAATCTGAGTAAAGCTGTGACCTATTTTACTAATCAATTAAAGCGTATGAATTATAGTCATTACCAAGCACAAAATCTTCCTATAGGTTCTGGTGTGACAGAAGCAGCTTGCAAGACTCTTATCAAGCAAAGATTATGTAAATCAGCAATGCAGTGGCGAACTCAAGGGGCCAAAATAGTCATTTCCATTAGATCTCTTGTTCAGACAAAAGGAAGGTGGAATCAATTTTGGAACATGATTAACCAAAATGGCTTAAGTGACATACTTATACATTAACTAACATTATTCAATAGCTGTACCCATCTCAACTTCCTCCAGGATATCGAAAAGCTAATGAGGGGAGGCACCAACCCAAATTTAGCAATTCTGCAAGACAAAAGATATGGTCCAATATAAGGTAATATAATATCACTCACGCTGGGTAAGAAGATTTATTCTTACTCAGCTTTGCATAAAGTACTAAACCTTGTGCCTCAAATAAAAAAGATATTTTACAGTTTTATAATATGTCTATTGCGTCATAAGAATATTTTTTATATATCTATATCATGAAATAAAATTATAGATAAAAGATGCATAAATATAGGACGCATAATTGCGGAGAATTGCGGGTAGAAGACATTGAAGTCAGAGTAAAGTTATCTGGTTGGATACATAGGCGGAGAGATCATGGCAACTTAGTGTTTATTGATCTGAGGGATCATTTTGGCGTAACTCAGTTAGTATTTACTGACCAAAATCTAACTTTAATGGAAGAAGCCAGCTACTTAAGATACGAATCAGTTATCACAATTGTAGGGAAAGTAATCGCAAGAACAGATGATACAATAAATAATTCGTTGGGTACTGGGCAGATTGAGATATTAGTAGAGGAATTAATTATTGAGTCTAATGCTGCTTCTCTACCTTTTGTTGTTAATACCGATCAAGAAGCCCCAGAAGACACTAGATTAAAATATCGTTTTTTAGACCTTAGACGCGGAAAGCTTCACAATAATATTATGTTGAGAGCAAAAGTTATTGCTCATTTACGTTCTCTTATGGCTAAAAATGGTTTTACTGAGTTTCAAACTCCTATTCTAACTGCCAGTTCTCCTGAAGGGGCTAGAGATTTTTTAGTACCTAGCAGATTGCATCCGGGGAAATTTTATGCGTTACCACAGGCCCCACAACAATTTAAACAATTGCTGATGGTATCAGGATTTGATAAATATTTTCAAATAGCGCCTTGTTTTAGAGATGAAGATGCTAGGGCAGATAGATCACCTGGGGAGTTTTACCAGTTAGATATTGAAATGTCATTTGTTACTCAAGAAGATATATTTAACGTTATTGAACCTATAATGTATGAAATATTTTCAAAATTTTCTGATAAAAAAATCTCTAGCATTCCTTTTACCCGTATCCCTTACGATGATGCAATATTAAAATATGGTACTGATAAGCCAGACTTAAGAAATCCAATTATTATTACCGATGTTACTGAATTATTTAAAGATACTGATTTTACAATTTTCAAAGAAAATATACAAAATGGCTCAGTAATTAAGGCTATTCCCGCTCCTAAAGCATCAAATTTACCTAGAAGTTTTTTTGATAAGATGCTCGATTTTGCTAATTTAGAAGGTGCTAAGGGGCTAGGCTATATTCAATTTTTAGAAGATGGAAGCAGCAAGGGTCCTATTGTTAAATTCTTAACTAATTCCCAATTACTGGATTTAAAAACTAGAGCAAATTTGCAAGATGGGGATGCTGTTTTCTTTGCTAGCGATCAAATAGAAGTAGCAACAAAATTTGCGGGCAAATTAAGAACAAAATTAGGAGAAGCATTAGGGTTACTTACAAAAGATAGTTTTA